GAATATAACAGAATTCTCGACTCTCAGAGAACCCTTAAAGCAAAGCGACTACTGTTGAATGTTTGATTTAACAATTGCTTCTAACCGAACTAAGCGAAGATGTGAAGAGGATTTTCTAGAATTAAACAGGGATAGAAGCTCCCGGCTCTATATTCTCTTTCAGAGGCAGATGAAATGATACGAGATAGTTACAATGATTTTACGTAGAAGTCTCATTCCATTGCACACAACTTATATAGAATTAAAGTCAATAGTTTCTAAATGTTTAAGAACTATTTTTTCACAATTCTACAGTTTCTACACTAAACATTTTAAACCACTAAATAAGACACAATGGCTTTGAAGCCAACTATAGGCGTCAAATAATCAAATCAAACTAAAATCGTCAAATTGGAGAAATATTGACACCTCACAATGACATTACTAAATATTAAGATAATGGTCAAACATGATAAGTGTCCTGTCTCTTTATAGTAAATGCAACATAAATCGTAATTTAATCATTAAAAAAAAGAGGAAAATGGAACTCGATCGGTGACATATCAATCAGAGAACCTTATCATCTGCAACTACACTAAGTGATTAATAAAATCTGGAAGGCTAAAAACGTTATAAAATCGCAGTATTTTGAAAATAGAAAATAAAAGAAAATAAATGTAGTAAACCGAAAACACTACCTAATAATCACAACATCTGAATAAGTTTTGCTAAGAACCTAAGTCATCGTGGGATTTAGACAATATAAGAAAGATAAAATTGATAATTTGACATTATTGGTATTTACAGAATGTAATGAACAGTGGATTTTCTATCAAATAATAGATACTTGTAGGGAATGTGAAGTGATTAGTAAAATCAAAATAAGAATAATAGCCCGAAGAATTAGAAGTAGAAAAGGGATAATAAAATAATATGCTGAGGAACATATGGAAATCAAACCAAATATCTCATAAAACGAAACTCCGCATTTTTGAATCAAATATAAAATCTGTGCTCTACTATGGCTTTAAACCATAGAAAGATTCCAAGCGCATTGAGTCAGTATAGAGACCTTCATAAATAACTGTTTGCATAAAATACTTGATATAAGATGGATTGCAAGAATAAGAAATGAGGACCTATGGTGCCGTACACAACAAGAAGCCATTCTAGTTCAGATTGACCGACGTAAATAGCAATAAATTAGCCACACAATTCGTAGACCAGCGAACCGAATTGCAAGAACAACACTAAGATAAAACCCTCAAGGCTCTAGAGGGCCTGGTGGAACAACACAAACTTGGTGGAGAACTAAAGAGAGAGAACTCAATAATGCAAATAATAACCGGAATGATATATGCCGCAAAGCACTCAATAGAGTTAGGTATAGAGATATGGTTGAGGGCCTTATGCTCCACTAGGAGAAGAGAACAACAGTAAGTAAGTAAGTAATAATATAATAAAAAAATATGACAACAAAACATGTATATATTTTTTTTAATTAATTCAAATTTTTAGCAGCTGTGTAAATAAACTGTTTTGAGTTTTGCTAAATATGCTCTATCAGTGATCTTTCCAATAATTTTTTTAATTTCAACAATTCATACACAATTTTAAGACTAAGTTTTATAAGTTAAGAATGCACCGGCATAAATTTAAACAAAATTTTAGGTTTCAGTCACCCATACTTGACTTGTGGTATTTAAATTTGAAGATTTGTCAATATGTTGTCGTTGTTTTACCAACATTACGGTATATCAGCACGAATGCATAAACCACCGCTATATTTAAATGTAATTAACTATTGAAGTTGTTGTTATTAGTAATATTCATCACATATTTACCTCTTTTTTTTAAATACTAGTTTTTTTTCCTTAAATTGGATATATAATTTAATAAAATTGTATATATTAAATTATATATTTTTTGTACTCAAAGAGTAAAAAATTGTATTAATAAAAGCAATAAATTTTACTAACAAAATTAAAGTAAATTATATATCTATTCCTCTATGATGGAATGTTTGACGGAAATACTAATTGCAGACATAAAAGAGAAAACTCTCTTTGGCCTGAATTTGGTTGATTCATGGGCGATACTCAAACAAAAATTAAACCGAAAAAGTAAACAAAATTTGTTAGTCATTTACGCCTTTGTTGAGAATTACAAGTTAATTGACCTTTAAGTGAACATAAAATATTATTCGATATATTGAGATACATCTCAATTAATTTCTTCTCAGGAAAAAATCAATTTAAAAATATTAAAAAAAAGTTATATATATAAATGTAAATATACAACAGGCTTAAATAGATCCATAGAATAAACGTAATAAATAGACCGAATAGATATTTGTTTTAGGCCGTGTGCGAATTCGAGTGAAATGATGATAAATTGACGGAAATAGTAAATTATGTCGGTATGCTAGTAAATGTTGATATTTACCAGAATTTCGAGTTGGGTAAATTAGACCAAAATTAGGTAAATTAAATTAAATTAAGTAAATTAAGTGCTATTAATAAATAAATAAATATTTACATAAGTGCAGTGTGAAAAATCCCTAGGAAATTTCAATTCAATTTACCTTTATTTACTCGTACTCGCACAGGGCCTTAGAATTGATTTCTCTAATTACATTAAAGATTTCTTAATTTATGTTGTATGTATTTGTAAAGCATAAAATGGATGGTCTAAATATTTAAAATTTCTTCATTTTTTAAAAAAAATAGTTTCTTTTTTAATAGTTTTTAACCAATAACAATAAAATGCAACTGTTATACAATTAACGTTAATTACGTTTAATAATTACCTTCTATTAATTAACTATTCAATTAGGTCGTACAATACAACGGTTCAACAGGTTTAAATAGATTCCTAGAATAACCGTAATAAACAGATCGAATAGATGATATTTGTATTACAATGGATCTCTCCAATTACAATAAAAATTTCTTAATTTATATTCTATGCGCTTTTAAACTATAAAATAGATGGACTAAATATTTAATATTTCTTCATTTTTTTTTTAAATATTTCCTTTTTTAATTGTTATTAACCAACAACAATAAAATACTTTATGAAGTAAACTGTTATACAATTAACGTTAATTACACTTAATAATTACCTTCGTTGCCAAACATGCTCCACAATTTTGATAAAAGCAAGCCCATGTTGAACGTGTATTTGTATTTATTGTTGTTTTTGTTTTTGTTTTTGTTTTTGCTGATGTTATTTGACTTGCAAGACTGACTGTAATTTAAAATCCAAGAAAGAAGCACTAACAATTTTTACACCAAAATGCCACCATAAACGTTTCTGTTACTATTATGACGTCGTATATTAAGCAAAATTGCGCCACTAGTTTAAGTTAAGAAATTTATTTGAAAACATTTATTTAAGAGCAAAAAAAAAGCGCATTATAACGAATAAGAACACAAAAAAAAACAGTGATTAAATGGCAAAATTTTTAAACTGCGAAAAATATTAATCAAAATCCAGTTACGGTCACACGGCAGAGATAACTTTCACTTGTGTAGATGTTGCGCTCCTTCTTATTGCTGTTAGCTAACGGAATCGAAGTGGAGGGCGAGCGCTGGTCAAATATTAACAGAACACAAATACAATTTGACAATATATATCGGAAATAATAAGAAATTAATTTTTTTTATAAACTTATTGAAATTTTTGTAATTATTTAACAAATTATTTTTTTTGTGATTTATTTTAATGCTCTTTTACGATTTGATATCAGTTGAACCTTAACACTTAGCATTTTACATGTATCTAAAGAAATGCATTTGTTATCAATTTCTAGAACACATTTTATGTTATGTCGCAAATATATTATTTATTAAATTATAATTTAATTAAATTAAATAATTCTCACACACGTAACGCGTATATTACAAAAAAATAGAAAAAACTTAGTAGAGTGCGACAGTACCCAATATTCACGCATGAAATGTCGAGAAATAATGTTTGACATTTCGAAAAAAAGAAATGAAATATAAAACAAATGCAAGGGTTGCCCTATCATAAAATATGTATAACAGTTGAAAATGTATGCAAGTACTTGTCAAAGTTGATGCTAGTTGGTGTTATATCGTTTTCGATTAGTAAATCTAGATTCAATCAAGATTTATTTACGGTCTGATAAATTTTTTCGCCCAATCGGGTGTTTTTAGAGTAATACAATATATTTGTAGTAGTCATAGACATTTATATATATTTTAAATACATATGTCAAATCAAATCACACTTAACTGTCAAGTTATATAAAACAGCTGTTCATTTCAAGCTAATCTTGCTATTCTGGCGAAGTATTTAGAGTGTTATAATATAATATCAAGTGTTAACGTTTTATCAATCGTAAATGAAAATTGCACTAAAAGTGGATCTCGATTACAAAAGTAACTTCAGATTTATGGCATTAGTTTGATGTTAAGTGTGAGAGCAGCAATTATTTAATTATACTTAAGTTTCAACATAATAACTAAAAGCATTATTGTTGTTATTATTACAATGTCATATAAAAAAGCCACTAAATAAGGCCTTTCTTATATTTTATATATTAGACACATAAATAAAACTTAAAATTAAAACAAATACCATTGTAATGTCAAATTCGACATGTGTGTGTTTAGTTAAATTACCCTAATAACATGTTTACACCATAGTAATTAACTCGACAAATATTTAACGAATATTTTTTCACATAAAATCAAAACAAAATGCTTACAAAAATGTATCGGTGAGATTTGATATATGCTAATTGATCTTTCAATGAAATATGGAATTATAATTTAAGACAACCGAACAATTAAGAGAAACATATATAACATTAAAAAGCGAATTCTTTTAACTGAAATATTTTCTTCAGTTATATCAACTTTCTGTATCTATTAATTTGCTTATCTATAATATTTATGTAAATACAAATTTTTAAAATCGTTTACGATACATACATAATTTTCGTTTCGTAAATTTTAAGCGCTAAGTATAACAATCTTAATAAGTTTATATCACGCTAAATATTTTAGCAAAATAACAAAATGTAATTGATATAATTAAGTTTTGTATTTTATGCAAGTTGAAATATATTTGGCGTTAGATAACCGAATCGTGAATATTATCAGAAAATTACAAAACTGTCACATCTAGTACAATTGCAGTATAACACTTGAAATTTGTAATGACATTTAATTGAAAAACAGCTTGTCAAGCGTAGCGTCAAGAAGATTGTACTATTTTTAATAGTTATTCTTTCTTGAA